ACCAAGCGCTCTATATCGCCAAGGTCAGCAGTCACCTCGCCCAGCCGTCCGAGTGCCTCCTCGTAGATGTTGAAGTCTTTGCTGCGAAAATCCTAAGCCAGGCCAACACACAGTAAGGGGCAAAACAGCAAGGACAGACATCCTGCGCACATTCTGGCGGCCACGGCACCTTGAGCATCTTCACCACGTTCAACTTACCCCCGCTCGTCTCGAGCATAGATTCCAGCCGCGAGAGGTCGCAGAAGACACAGCGCTGCCAACCAGGGCTGGGTTGTGCAGGCCGTCCCGGGTGCGCGGCAGAGAAGCAGCACACAGTGCCCGACAACCCGACACAGGCGCGAGGCATGATGGATGCGCGCAAGATCTGGGGAGGGGAAAGCAGCTGTTAAGCGAAGAAGTGCTACTGGTCGAAGAATGCATGTCTGCTCGCGCAAAGTGTGGCAGAAAAAGCCGCCGGAGACCTGGATCTCTATTTTCCCATGCCTCCTTGCAGTTCCTACAAAGCCCCAACAGTGAATAAAGGTGGATAATGCTTATTGGAGCGTTGCGTATGGCGACTACGGCACAGCGTGTCTCGTGATCGCTAGCGGGCGAAAGTGCTGCTTGTAGGTCAGAAACTGTGAAATACTGACGCTGTGCCGGAGCAAACATCTGTACATGTAGTCTCATCAGGATTGACTCTGTCAACTGTGCTTCCTAGGCCTCACTTGTCTGGAGATTCAAGCTGAGTCTGCAAGGCCTCGTCAAGGCTAGCGACCATCTTCTCTAGCGCGTGGAGCAACTGTCGAAGATTTTCGGTCCTGGGATAGCGGGTCTTCTGGAGGAGCGTCTCTATGGTGGGTTGCAAGCCGAGAGAGGCCAGGGCAGATGGCGGTACGAGCTTCAAGGCCTCCTGGAGAGTACCGAAGGGAGGCCGATCCTTCGCGTCTGCCTTCACTTTCGTTAGCAGCGCCTTCAGATTGTCCAGGGCTTCCTTCGAGTAAGTGCCAAGTTCCAGCTTTGCCTCCGGAAGCGCTTCTGGCGAGGATTCTAGATCCAACTGCTGGATAGGTTCGTCGTCTGAGGCGAGCGCATCATGCGCAGCCGCTGGCTTGAGCGACGCGGCCGGGCGGTGCTTCTTGGGGGGCGGGTTGGGCTTCTGCATTTCCTCGTCGTCCTCTTCCTCGTCGTTCCCCCAAGCAGTGTCGTAGCCGCCCTTCTGACCAACATCCCAGACGTCGCCGGCTCCCGTCTCGTCCCAATCGTCGAAGGCG